GTCTTTTTTCAACATTTATAGCAACTTTCTTGTTTAGCTGTGATAAAAAAATATTAATGAAATATATATAAATCAATCATATAATCTAAAAAAATTTTAAGGATATTTACAAATAATCTTAGTAGCCAAACATAGTAACGATTTACAAATAGTTAAAACCTAAAACACTGATATTTTTGTATATAAATAATAATAATAATAATAATAATATTGATAACAATAATAACGATAGTAATAATAATGAAAATAATAAAAACAATTAAAAAATAATAATAATAATAGTAAAAATAACATAAAAAACAATGATAATAACAACAATAACAATGTAAAGGAAAAAAAATGAATATATATGATATATAAGAATATATATATATATATATATATATATATATATATATATATATATATATATATATATATGTATATATATATATATATATATATATATATATATATATATATATATATATATATATATATATATATATATATTAAATTATGAATGCATGTTTAGATTAACATCTCTAATGTCACACTGATATACTCTACTGCGGAGGGGCTTCAGTACATACATCGACTATCTAATAGTTTACTGCCACAAACAAGTAGTCAGAAATGCTTGAAAATGCAAATTAATTGTGTTTTTTATCCCAAATTGTTAAAATTAAGTAAAAATCAAAAAATTTAAATAAACAAAATTTATTTGGAATTAAACACTTTTGACACATTATAAAAGTAATAGTTTTTGAAATAGAATAACATTGAAAACATAATTATCACAAGTTTTTGAAAAATAATTAATTCCATTTTGTTGTAACCATTTTCACAAGAATTTCATGAAGTTCAAGTTTAATTTATTTCTATTTTAACACTTAAAAAAAATTATAGTTTTTGAAATAGAATAACATTGAAAACATAATTATCACAAAAAAATTTTGGAAAATAATGAATATAATACCCGTGGATATTCATTGGAAAGCTCCAAATAACATGTTCCTTTTTATGAAATGTTTTCCAAAATTTTGCATTTTTAAAAATAATTTTGAACAAGAGTACCCAACTTTTTTGTGTACCTAACTTTTTTTGTGCAATATCTTAATCAAGAGTTACGTCCTTTCAAATTTTTACCTTCGTTTTTAGTTTTTTTGTGAAAATTTAGTCGCGAAAAAAATAGGGCAATGTACATAAATTTGAAGCGCAATTCAGGATTGCTAACAAATTGTATTAACTTTTAAAAGGGAACTTTTACTTAAAAACAATAGTCCTAAAAACTTAAATGATTGGGTAACATTTATCAATTTGATAAGTCACGTGATTTGTTATAACCATTTTAATTAGTTGCAACATCTTAAAAATAAACTTCACACGTGAGCCAATTATTAAATAATTTCCAATTAGCACATTTTTTAGTAACAAAAGGAAAAGCTTTAAAAAAATTCAATTTGCAAAATACATACATTGCAGACAAGGAGATGGAACTATGTACTGACTGGGATCCAGTTGTTGTTAAGAAGTACTGTCTTGTAAAAGAAAAAATATGAGATCATTAAATTTATGTCCTGGCTATAAAATTGAACATGTATCATGGTCCTGAAATTGAACATGATGCTTTTATAGTATTGCAAACTAATAGTGATGTTGAAAATATTATGAAAAGCTATACTACTTTTTTAAATCAGCAAATCTCAAGTGGCGTTTGTTTAAGCAACAATCACGATTCATTGAATTCTTGAACATTTTTTTAATTAAATATGAAAATTCATTTAAACCAAGAAATAAACATGAGAATGACAACAAGATGAATTGAGCATCAACTTAATTAGAAACTAAATATTAATATAAAATATTAAATATTAAAAAACTTTTATTTTTTTAATTTTTTTTAATTCTTTTTTATTTTCACGTTGCAAACAAATGAAAGCTGAAAAAAGTTTTCTGCAGGGCTATCTGGGTAATTCATATATCTTGAAGTTTATTTTAAATAGATTTTTAAAAGAGACTCTAACCAGTAAGTAAAATTCTGCAAGAATTAGAATTAATTCTTCCACAGTTTTTGACTACAGTATCTACATGCGTTAAAACCATTAAAAAAATCTTTAAACTGTTAGCTCGTGAAAAAGAAACATTTAAAAAATCTTTTCAACACTTTTAACTAGTGATTGTTAGCTCGTGAAAAAGAAACAAAAACGATCAATTAAAAGCAACAAGTTAAAAGAAAAAAAGTTTGAAAAATGTTTAACTAATAAAATCTGTTTCTGACAAAAATAACAAATTTTATTTTATTTTAATTAGTAGAAGTTTTTGTGTTTGCTTTTCGTTATGTAGTTTTTGTTTTCGCAAATAACAAATATATTTTATTTTATTTAGTAGAAGTTTTTGTGTTTGCTTTTCGTTATGTAGTTTTTGTTTTCGCTTTGTAGTTTTTGTAATTGCCTTTTCATTTGTGTAAAGTTTGTTATTATTTGTGCTGTTGTTGCTAATTATTTTTATTGTTGTTCACTGTTGTTATTAGTTAAGTGTTTTAATACTTCTTTGTCTTTTTATCTAATTTATTATAGCTAGTTATTATTTTTATAAATTAATTTTTTTACGCTTGCTCTTATTTATTAATATTGATTTTTTGTTTGTTTGTTTGTTTTACTTAGGTGTCACTCCAATGACTAGTTTTTAACTATATGAGTAACACGTAACCTAATTTTGTATAAAAAAAAATTGTAATTTTCAATTTTTGGTGAAATAAATGAATTATAAAAACAAAGTAAAAAAAAATTTCTATTGAATGATTTGAAATATTTAAAAGTTATTTTCTAAAAGTTAAAAATCATTTTTAAAAATTATTATTCAATTTACAACCAAATCTTAACTTGAATATGTAACCTAGTCCTGTCTCTAGTATCTGTAACCTTAGTTACAGATATCAAAGAGATTTTACATATTCATATTTTTACATATATAGTATTGTATTACATTCAAAAATCATTATGGACCTTTAAAATAGTAAAATTTATAAAAGTATTTGAAAATGCCAATTTTTTTAGTACTTTTTTAAGATGATAAATTTCTTGCAGCTTAAGAAAACTGATCATTCTGAACCAAGATAGTTTGTTTTTCTTATTGAACTTAAAATTGTTGTTGGGTTCTTGAACTTAAAACTTGTTCTTATTAAACTTAAAACTTGTTCTGCTGAACTGATTAAAGGTAATAGATTTACTAAACCACAAGTTTATTTACAAAAAAGCGCTTAGTTACATTTTTTTTGTAGATTATTCAATTTTATTTTGTTGCTTTTTTTTAACTTAATGTACATATTTAAAATTGTTTAAATAGGGAGAACATGCAGGGGAGTGTACATATATTGACTCAGGATTTGAGATTGGACAGGCAATCTTAACGCTTATCATAAATCTTTTTTCTGATGTATTTACATTCCCTGCATATTTTGCTTGTTAAATCAGTCAATGCATGCACTCAATAATTCCATTGCAAAAAAATAAAAATTATTCACATTGTAAAATATCATACCCAACCATACCCAACCATACCCAACCATACCCATCCATACACAACCATACCCAACCATACCCAACCATACCCAACCATACCAAAGGCAAAATGAAAAAGTTTAAACATGTCATTCCAAGTGATAAAATTTATGATTAAATTTTGTCTTATATAAATTTATTTACTATTATTATAATTATTGTAAACATACAAAAAATAAAATATTCACACCTGTTCAGTATTACAGAGATCATTACTGGAATAAGGAATGATTTGATTTTCTGGAATAAATTGAACGTTAACTGCTTCATCCATTTCCTCAGATGGTAAGTTATTCAGCAATTTATTACTGATTAAAACCATTTTATTGCTCTTCTTTCCATCTCTGAATTCTGAGAAAAATTAACATAATAAATTCTGAGAAACTGTTTTTTGGCATAAAGTATAAAAAATAGATTTTATTCAAATCGAATTTAAAAAAAAATTCTCTTTTTAGAAAAACGCAGTTTTTTTATTTTCTATTATGAGTTGAATCACTTGAATTAAAAATAAAATTTTTAAATTTTAAAAGCTTCAAAAGAATCCATCTCCTACATAGAAGAACAGTTAATAAATTATACCTGGTTTTAACTTTAGAGATGAAGGTGATGAATCGATTCCTTGCATATTTGAAAATTCTGGATTTTTTAATTGATTCTGTGAATAAACAAATAAATATTCAAAATTTTTATAAACAAATATCCAAAAATTATTATTGTATCATAATATATCAACAAACAATAAAAAACTAAAAGACAGCAATTAAATTAAATTATTAAACATTAAACATTACTAAACAATTAAATTATTAGACAGCAATTAAATTGACATTAGACAAAACTTTACAATATAGGTTTTCCAACCTTTTTTTTTTTATTATTAGAAAGACAATTCTATTAAAAAAGTATAATTATGAAAACAATTTTCATTAAAAAAATATCATACATTAAATATATCAGGAATCTTAAGTTTTCCAACATTCATAACATCTCCTGAAGGAGCACCATCATCTCTTGAAATATCATCTACGTCTTTAAGAAAAATATCACCTCTAGGAATTGTGTCATTTTCATGAAATGAAACATCTGCAGAAGGAGAAACTTTACTTATGGATTGATTAGCTGGAGTTATCTCAGATTCTTTTGTGCTAGCTTTTTTGCTAATTAGCTCATTGTTATCCATCTGTGTGTATATAAATAAATATGAATATATAGTATATATATATAGTATATATAATAATTATATATATATATATATATATATATAATATATATATATATATATATATATATATATATATATATATATATATATTAATATATATATATTAATATATATATATATATTAAGATATATATATATATATATATAAATATATATATAATATATTAATATATTATATATATATATATATTAATATATATATATATATATTAAGATATATATATATATATATTATATATATATATAAAATATATATATATATATATATATATATATATATATATATATATATTTATATATATATATGGTATATATATATATATATAAATATGTCATATATATAAAATATCGATTCCTAATTATAATTTTTGTTTAAATTTGAAACTAAATTTAAATTGAAAAAATTGAAACTAACCTCATCAAAAACACTTTCATCAAAATCAGGGACTTGTTCCTCTGGTGAAATATAAACATCAAGAACTTCTTCAAATGCAATCTCTTTTGAATCTAACTTTGGCTCATTGCTTGTCTTTAAATTTAAAGTAAACATTTAGGATATAAATGTATCTGATATATATATATATATATATATATACTATATATATACTATATATATATAATATATATATATAAATTTATATATAAATGTATGTATGTATGTATGTATGCATGTATGTATATATATGTATATATATTACATATATATATATATATATATATATATATATATATATATATATATATATATATATATTATATATATATATATATATATATATATATATATATATATTTATATATATTTATATATATATATATATGCATATATATATGTATATATATGTATATGTATATATATATATATATATATATATATATATATATATATATACATATAATATTTATAAAATGTTAATTCTTTTTTACAATGTTTGTTTAAATTTGAAAAATAAATTTAAATTTAAAAAAATTGAAACAAACCTCATCAAACCAACATGAAACCAAGGACTTGTTCCTATTATTATTATAATTATCATTATTAACATACAAAAATTAAAATACCTGTTCATTATTACAGAGATCATCACTGGACTTAGGAATGATTTGGTTTTCTGGAATAAATTGAACATTAGCAGCTTCATCCGTTTCCTCAGTTTGTAAGTTATTCTGCAATTTATTACTGATTAAAACCATTTTACTACTCTTCTTTCCATCTCTGAATTCTGAGAAATAATATCAAAATAAATTCTGAGAAATTGATTTTTGACATAAAAGTATAAAAAATAGATTTTATTCAGATCGAACTTAAAAAAAGACTTAAAAGATCTCTTTTTAGAACAAAATAATTTAGACTTTTTTATTTTAAAGGCTTTAAAAGAATCCATCTCTTAGTTAAAAGAATAGTTGACAAATTATACCTGGTTTTAACTTTAGAGATGAAGGTGATGAATCGATTCCTTGCATATTTGAAAATTCTGGATTTTTTAATTGATTCTGTGAATAAACAAATAAATATTCAAAATTTTTATAAACAAATATCCAAAAATTATTATTGTATCATAATATATCAACAAACAATAAAAAACTAAAAGACAGCAATTAAATTAAATTATTAAACATTAAACATTACTAAACAATTAAATTATTAGACAGCAATTAAATTGACATTAGACAAAACTTTACAATATAGGTTTTCCAACCTTTTTTTTTTTATTATTAGAAAGACAATTCTATTAAAAAGTATAATTATGAAAACAATTTTCATTAAAAAAATATCATACATTAAATATATCAGGAATCTTAAGTTTTCCAACATTCATAACATCTCCTGAAGGAGCACCATCATCTCTTGAAATATCATCTACGTCTTTAAGAAAAATATCACCTCTAGGAATTGTGTCATTTTCATGAAATGAAACATCTGCAGAAGGAGAAACTTTACTTATGGATTGATTAGCTGGAGTTATCTCAGATTCTTTTGTGCTAGCTTTTTTGCTAATTAGCTCATTGTTATCCATCTGTGTGTATATAAATAAATATGAATATATATATATATATATATATATATATATATATATATAATATATATATATATATATATATATATATATATATATATATATATATTAATATATATATATATATTAAGATATATATATATATATATATATATAAATATATATATATATATATATATATATATATATATATATATATATTAATATATATATATATATATATTAAGATATATATATATATATATATATATATATAATATAATATATATATATATATATATATATATATATATATATATATATATATATATATATATATATATATATATATATATATATATATATATATATATATATATATAGATATATATATATATATATATGTATATATATATATATATAAATATGTCATATATATAAAATATCGATTCCTAATTATAATTTTCGTTTAAATTTGAAACTAAATTTAAATTGAAAAAATTGAAACTAACCTCATCAAAAACACTTTCATCAAAATCAGGGACTTGTTCCTCTGGTGAAATATAAACATCAAGAACTTCTTCAAATGCAATCTCTTTTGAATCTAACTTTGGCTCATTGCTTGTCTTTAAATTTAAAGTAAACATTTAGGATATAAATGTATCTGATATATATATATATATATATATAATATATATATAAATTTATATATAAATGTATGTATGTATGTATGTATGCATGTATGTATATATATGTATATATATTACATATATATATATATATATATATATATATATATATATATATATATATATATATATATATATATATATTTATATATATATATATATGCATATATATATGTATATATATGTATATGTATATATATATATATATATATATATATATATATATATATATATATATATATATATATATATACATATAATATTTATAAAATGTTAATTCTTTTTTACAATGTTTGTTTAAATTTGAAAAATAAATTTAAATTTAAAAAAATTGAAACAAACCTCATCAAACCAACATGAAACCAAGGACTTGTTCCTATTATTATTATAATTATCATTATTAACATACAAAAATTAAAATACCTGTTCATTATTACAGAGATCATCACTGGACTTAGGAATGATTTGGTTTTCTGGAATAAATTGAACATTAGCAGCTTCATCCGTTTCCTCAGTTTGTAAGTTATTCTGCAATTTATTACTGATTAAAACCATTTTACTACTCTTCTTTCCATCTCTGAATTCTGAGAAATAATATCAAAATAAATTCTGAGAAATTAATTTTTGACATAAAAGTATAAAAAATAGATTTTATTCAGATCGAACTTAAAAAAAGACTTAAAAGATCTCTTTTTAGAACAAAATAATTTAGACTTTTTTATTTTAAAGGCTTTAAAAGAATCCATCTCTTAGTTAAAAGAATAGTTGACAAATTATACCTGGTTTTAACTTTAGAGATAATGGTGATGAATCGATTTCTTGAATATTTAAAAATTCTGGATTTTGTAATTGATTCTGTGAATAAACAAATAAATATTCAATATTTTTATAAACGAATACCCAAAAATTATTATTGTATCATGAATATATCGAGAAACAATAAAAACTAAAAGACAGCAATTAAATTAAATTATTAAACATTAAACATTACTAAACAATTAAATTATTAGACAGCAATTAAATTGACATTAGACAAAACTTTACAATATAGGTTTTCCAACCTTTTTTTTTTCATTATTAGAAAAACAATTCTATTAAAAAGTATAATTAGGAAAACAATTTTCATAAAAAAATATCATACATTAAATATATCAGGAATCTTAAGTTTTCCAACATTCATAACATCTTCTGAAGGAGCACCATCATCTCTTGAAATATCATCTACGTCTTTAAGAAAAATATCACCTCTAGGAATTGTGTCATTTTCATGAAATGAAACATCTGCAGAAGAAGAAACTTTACTTATGGATTGATTAGCTGGAGTAATCTCAGATTCTTTTGTGCTAGCTTTTTTGCTAATTGGCTCATTGTTATCAATCTGTGTGTGTGTATATATATATATATATATATATATATATATATATATATATATATATATATTATATATATATATATATATATATATATATATATATATATTTATTTATTTATATATATATATATATATATATATATATATATATATATATATATATATATATATATATATATATATATATATATATATATATATATATATTTATAAAATATCAATTCCTAATTATAATTTTTGTTTAAATTTAAAACTAAATTTAAATTAAAAAAATTGAAACGAACCTCATCAAAAAAACTTTCATTATAATCAGGGACTTGTTCCTCTGGTGTAATATAAACATCAAGAATTTCTTCAAATGCAATCTCTTTTGTATATAACTTTTGCTTAATACAGTTATTTAGATCTTGAGGAATATCTTCTCCTTGTAAAAATTGAACATATAAATATATATATACATTTATAAATCTGTTGATTCTTATTCAAAAGACATTTGACTATATATATAAGTTGAAGGTATCCTTAAAACTTAAAACTCAAAGAGAGAAGTTTAATTCATCTTTAATATCTTGCTGTGTTATGAATATGAATATCTGGTCTTTTTAATTAACTTAGACACAATTTATTATAATACACAGGTAACTACAAAGAAGCATATGTTACCATTATCAATGATTCTGAAATACTTTTGGTTCATGAAACCATATATATAAGGTATGCATTTAACATTTTTTGAAATATTTTTTAAAAAGATATAATTTACCTTTGGTATGTTAAACAAAAAAAGATGTACTAATATTTATTTGATCTGGTTTTTATTTTATATAGTAGCAAAAGAAAACTTATCCTAAAGCATAAAGTACCACATTTATATAGTATTTGGATAAACAAATAGCTGTTTTGCCATTAGCTGGCACTGATCTGTTTGATACTAAAATGGTAGGAAAATAAAAAAACTTTTACAAAACCTCTTTATTTTACAGTTTTATAAAAATAACCATTTATTTTTTTATTTTAATGAGACAAGATTTAAATCTTATTTTAAAAAGACAAGGTTTAAAATTTCTCAAGTTAAATTTTTTATTCCAAATCAATAAACTTTAAAAACTTATGCAAAATTATTGAAAGCCAAACAAACAAGATATAAAACATAAGTTTATTTTCAAGTTAAATAAACCTTATGCACTTAATGAATAAATATAACATATTTATGTTAATTTATGTTAATTTATGTAAATTTAAGAGTAATTCTTAATATTTTTTTGACTTGTATATATATATGTGAAATGGTGCTACAATTGAGGTATGGAACTAAACTGCAAAAAATGTAAGGTGATGAGATTCGGCAATCAGAAAGTTTTTCGAGGTATTGATAAAACATACACAATGAATATAAATGGAATGATTTATGACCTCTCAAACAGTGTATTAGAAAGAGATCTATACAACCAGATATGAGGTGAAAGCATCAAACGCAAGTATGTGTTAACAAAGCTTCAAAAATACTGGGGTTACTGAAAAATGCCTTTGAAAGTAGAGATTGTTATATGTGGAAAATTTTGTATACTACTTATGTGCGACCTCATCTTGAATTTGCGGCTGCAGCGTGGAGTCCTCCGAATGTGGTCGAAATCTCAATGCTTGAAAGAGTACAACGTAGGGCCACAAAAATACCATACTCAAACCGAATGCTAAGTTATGAGAAACGGCTAGTTAAAATGGATTTAATTAATTTAAATCTCAGAAGAAAACGAGGAGACCTTATTCATTTATATAAGATATTAAACAATCTAGAATTTGTCAATCTTAATGTCAAACCAGTCTATAAGTCAAGCATTAAATTAGATGGCCCATGTTCTTTCATTAAAGGTCTCAAACATAAAATTAGAATGCAGTGTTTTACTCTTCGAGAAATAAATAACTTTCATGCATTTGTTAGCTCCAGAATCCATTTATTCACAAACAGAGTTTGCCAAATTTGGAACAAACTTCCGGAAAAAGTTGTAGATTCCGAGAATTTGAATAGTTTTAAAGCAAAGTTTAGACGAATGGCTTAAGAAAAATAAGAAAATATCAATTTAAAAAAAAAAGAAAAAAAAAAAAAGTACTGGGCTGCTATAGCTAAACGTTACAACGTCTCAGCTTGTGGATAAGATCCACGCAGTTTACCACTAACTAACCATATATATATATATATATATATATATATATATATATATATATATATATATATATATATATATATATATATATATATATATATATATATATATATATATATATATATATATATATATATATATATATATATATATATATATATATATATATATATAAATATATATATATATATATATATATATATATAAATATATATATACATATATATATATATATATATATATATATATATATATATATATATATATATATATATATATATATATATATATATATATATGTATATATATATATTTATATATAAATATATATATTTAAACATACATATATATATATATATAAATATATATATATATATATATATATATATATATATATATATATATATATATATATATATATATATATATAAAGTAGCTATAGCTAAACGTTAATATATATATATAAAATAGCTATAGCTAAACGTTACAACGTCTCAGCTTGTGGATAAGATCCACGCAGTTAACCACTAACTAACCATATATATATATATATATATATATATATATATATATATATATATATATATATATATATATATATATATATATATATATATATATATATATATATATATATATATATATATATATATATATATATATATATATATATATATATATATATAGATATAGATATAGATATATATATATATACATATATATATATATATATATATATATATATACATATATATATGTATATAAATATATATATATACATATATATATATACATATATATATATATATATATATATATATATATATATATATATATATATATATATATATATATATATATATATATATATATATATATATATATATAAATATATATATATATATATATATATATATATTATATATATATATATATATATATATATATATATATATATATATATATATATATATATATATATATATATATATATATATATATATATATATATATATATATATATATATATATATATATATATAGTACACAAGTACAGTGGCTAATTAGGTGTTTTCATTTGTAAATAGTTATCTGTTTACAAAAAACCTTACTAGAGGGTCTTGCAAATATAGAGTGAAATGCATCCAGTTTCTACAGAAATTTTAAAACTTATTTGGACAAGCCCAGTAATTTTAGATAAATATATGTTTTTGGAGACTTAAAAAATGTATTTTTTTTTTATTTTTTATGTTTTTTTCAAACCATATTAAAAGATTTTTACAAAGTTTCAGAAATCACAGTTCAAAGATTGCATATTATTTAAATTTATAAACATTTCATATTATTTAAATTAATATAGTGAAGCAGCACAGAAAAAAATTTTGTGTTATTGAATGAGGAAAGTGTGTATTTTTTAAAATTTTTAAAAACAAAGGTTAACATTTTAACTGTACTTATATAAAAATTATTCTTTAAAACTATAAATGAAGATTTAGAGGATTGAGCAACCATTAGTTTGTTTGTTTGTTTGTTAGTTATAATAAAAAGTAATGTGAATTTATTGTCTCACACAAAGTAGCCCATTCGTGGATGAGCAACTATAGCAACTATGCTGGAGGTTATCCGACAATTCTTAAATGCATTGACTGTTTTTGCGTTCACATTATCGTTGGATAGAGAGTTTGAACAGTTCACAATTCTGTTAATGAAGATATTGCTTTGCAGTGCGCTGTTGCGGACTAATTCTTTGCTAAGTTGTCCCCTTCAACCACCTCTTGATTCTCTTGTGATTGTTGGTACACACTATTTCACTTTGCCAATTTCTTTTATGATTTTGAATTCTTAAATGAGGCTGCCTCTTTGTTAGTGCACAATCAGACAATTGAGTTAGATTGAGTTTGAATCTCTAAATAAATATGTCACAACAGCCCACATTAGATTGAGTTTGATTAGCCTTTCTTCATAGCTAACTTTCTCATTGTGTATCTCGCCGTTGAACTTTTTCAAGTGTTTTTTGGCCTATTTTGGTTAATGGCAACCTTTGGAATCATTTGATAGTGACGCATTAAATCATTTCATTAAGATTTTAAACCGTTTTGGTAAAAAGGTCTATTTCAAGGAGGTTTTGTAAAGAGCTTTATATATATCTACAATAATTAAATGTAGAATTTAAACAATTAAACAAATTATGCATCACTAATTGATCTTCTTTCTGTGGTCTGAAAGTGGTTTAGAAGGGTCCTACCCTCTAGTTAAAAAAATTTTGCAGGTGAGTTTTCTTAAAAAACTACCAAGTTTGATAGTTTTGGAATGTGCAAATGGCTTTTAAACTCAAACAAATTTCAAGTATAAAGTCTTAGATGATCTTCAGGGTACCAGTGTATGTATGTATCTATATCTTCGCATTTATAGCCATGAGATATGAGGTGAAAAAATAAATTATAATAATAAAAAAATATACAAATAAATATATTTTAAAGTTAATTACCATAAGTTAGTTCTTCATTTCTTTGTTTTGACTCCGTAATTTCTTCACATAATTTTGCTGCACGACCACATTCATTTTTTTCAAACCATTTAGAAGGGAGATAAAGTAAGGAAAAACTATTGAAATTAAAACCTTTTGAACTTCTTACATTATAGAATAAAAGCTCATTGCAATGTCGAGAAGTAACTTGAATAATGATTGTTTCCTTTGTATTTTCATTAACTGTTTTCAAAAATTTGCCCTGTAAATATTTCAAGTTTAAAATGTTAACTTTAAAATATGTAAAAATATAAATAAGAAAAAAAATATGCAAAAACATAATTTAAAAAAAAATAATAATTTTAAAGAAAATTAATTTCAGAACAGTTATAACTAAAATGACTGTTAATAATAATTAAATAAAAGAGAGAATATAATCTCTAAAAACCCCTAGACCTCATGGAAGTAAATATATACCAAGGTTGCTTCAAGGTGGACATTACATTGTTTTTGTTTTATCATGGCCTACTTAATACACGGCCGGATATGTTGCATAAATAGGCCGAATATTAGAAGGCCAGTTTTTCAATATTATAAATTTTCGGGTTTTTAGTTTAAAAAGGTTTATATAGTAAAATTCAATCTTTCCGAACATTTTCAAGTTGAAAGTTTATTATTTAGTTTAAACCTTTGGTTAATTAGTTTTTACATTTTTTAAAAATATTTAAAATTTTTACATTGATATTATTACAAGATTATATTACAATATTGATATTATTACAAGTTTATAAACTACACATATAATAAATATTTTTTAGACAATGAACAAAACATTTTAAGTAACAGAAAACATAAAGATGCTATATTATCTTTTAAAAGTAGAAAAAGAGAAAAGAAAAAAAAAAAGATTTCTTTTTTTTTTTTCTTTTCTCTTTTTCTACTTTTAAAAGATAATACAGCATTTTTATGTTTTCTGTTACTTTAAATGTTTTGTTCATTGTCTAAAAAAATATTTATTATTGTTTGGAACAAAGTAAACTTTTTTTCACTGCATCAAGCATAGCAAAACAATTAATAACATGATTTGCCAGTAATTTTGAGGGAGTTATGAGACCTCCTCTCAATAGTAGTTCAATATATTCTGTATTTACATCAATAATATCACTTTTTAGCAACAAAGAACATAATTTGCATTTATTTTTTGAGTAATTTTCTGCATATATATCAAGCAATAAAAATAGAAACTTCTTTACTGTTTTTATCTAACACACATTCCTGAATATCATTAATAAAAAGTTCTGATATTGAATTAAGATTTACAACTGCATTAAAAGGTTTTAAATCCATTTTACGAAAGTCAAAACTTTTTTTTAATAATGATCTCAATTGCAAAATATTCTCAGAAGTATTTACTTCATGCAGTCTAACAAGAAACCTGCCACCACTCATTTGACCGTACTTTGAAAAATGTCTTTCTAATAGATCACTTTGGAAACGAAAGGTAAGAACATAATTGAAACCTTCGAATAAAAGATCTTCAATTAAACTAGTAGTACTTTGCAATGTTAAAATTAGTACTTTAGAAGTCTGAGTTGTGAGACAATGTTTATCAGTTGAACTACATTGCAAATTTTGACACTGTTCAACCCAGTGAGCAAACGCACACAAAAATTGTGGCTTACCATCCCCCTTTACAGGTTCATTACCAAATTTATAATTAGAGAACTTCATTTTACAATTGGATATTACTTACCATAAGTTAATGAGTTTTAAAAATCAGATGCTGAATATTCATTAGGAAAATAACTTTGAATTGCTGCTGAAGTTGTTTTGTGAAATATATTTAACGCTAGGTTGACATCTTGTTTATTGTTACCTGGATATAATGTCTTTTCTCCTAGTTTTAATGCCTTCCTTAGGTTTGCTGAAAGAGTTTTATCTTTTTCATGTACTCTATGAAGCAACCCCCAAGATATATCTCCTGCAGTCATATTTATACTAAAATTGTAATCAGTAAACTGAAATGGTGGGAAAATAAACTTTTTGGCACTAATTAAATTATTTCTTATGTTTTTAAGCAAATGTAAACTGTCATATATCAAATAAATTATATGATCTTTATATGTGATGAAGAAATTTTCATCTGGTTTATTTGATCTATAAACACTAAGCAATTTTGAATAAGCTGACACATTACTTGGATGGTTATCAGAAATCAATACGCAAATGATAAAACCAGCAGATCTTAATGTATTTAAACTTTCTTCTATTTCATCTTTAATAAAATCCCCAATGAAACTAGTCTCTGAGATTTAATTACATAAGGAATTGATTTTTTTAAACCAACAATCATAAACACAATTATTCCTTTGTAGAGATTACCTTCAGTATCTTGTCCAAATAATCTACCACTATGGTATTCACAAGACTGTTGTAAACACATTTCATCAAAAAGGAGAATGCAATCATTGCTTATTTTCCCCTTTATCAATAGTTTTAATGATTTTATTGAATCAACTCTACCAGAAACTTTTTCAATAGTAACACCGATGGTAAAGGAAGTTGTTTCAATAAGCCTGAGATTATGAATACCTTTGCATTAGTGCAAAACGTAATACTTTTAAAGAATATGGAGGACGACCTTTAGACTTGTAAAAGACTAACTTGGACAGTTCATTAACTAAACAATAGGAATTCTCTTCAACAAGGTTGTGCATATAAGACATCAAATTATTTAAAATAGATAAACTTGTAAGCTTACAGCTGTTGATTGTTCTAAACCATTGAGGAAGTGGTAGTGGACAACTTTTTTGCAACTTTACATACAAATTGTTATCAATGCTTATTGATTCAATAAAAGGAGTGGAGTCTACAGAAAATAAACAAAAGTATAAAACAAAACTTTCATATCTTTGAAAACTAAACCCATTTGGAGAGTTAGGTTCATGAAGCATATCAATATATTTTACTTTATCCATTTCTTGAAATGTTTGAATTTCATCTGGAATTGTGGAATTTCATTCAGTTGGAGGTTTTCGAAAGTTAGGAAGTTTAGGCTTTATTAAAGGTGGAATGCAAATTTGATCAGAATAAATGGATTGAAAAGATTTAACTTATGTCTTAAAGTAACTCGCTTCCCATATTTTAAATATTTTGGTTCAAAATGAACCAAACATATAACTACATGATTACTTGGCTTTCAATTTTTTCTGTTAATAAACTTTATTCATTTTTCTTCTAAATTTCTTTAGAGAAACTAAAAACAGCTTTACTTGAAAAAAGAGAACTTTTAGATTTATAACCAGTTAACAACTGCACAATTATTCACCATTATAATCACTATCTTCCTAAATTAAAAAAATAACAATTAACTAACAGTTCCAAAATGCAAAAAACTGGCCTTCTAATTTTCGGCATATTTATGCAACCTATCTGGCCATGTATTAAGTAACTTTTACTTTTTTTTGATGATTCTGAAATCCTGAAATTTTGGAGACTAATCCCAGGATTTTGGGATAAACAATTTGTATGAAATCCGAGGATTTTGGGATCCCAGGAGGGCCATCCCTAATAGATAGAAACCAAAATAAAATAAAACAAAATAAAAAGAAAAACAATAATGTTTAAAAAAGCAAGACAAATAACACAAAAAAAGGAAAAAATGAATAAAATGACATGAAAGATAATGAACTAATAAGATAACGCAACGTTTGATGATTAGAAGGATAAGAGAAATTAAAAAAGAAAACAAAAGGATATTTTTAAATACTATGATGAGACAAAAAATAAGAAATAACATGAATAATAGCAACAAACATAAAAAGCAACAATAAAAATAATTAGCAACAAAACCACAAATATTAACAAGACCACAAAAAAAATACACCTCAACATAAACAATTCACAAATGTACAAGTCAATATAAACGATACACAAAATTACACAACAATATAAACAAAACATAGAAATACACAACAATATAAAAAATAGATAAAAGCTTTATAAATACATAAACAACTTTATAAAAAATACACAAAAATTTATGACAGCATAAACAATCCATACAACCTAAATTAATAATAATTAAAAAATGTTATTTTTGCTTTCCTTTAATAACTTGTTAAAGTTTTTTATTTTCAAATTTTTTACAAACATTTTTCACAAATTTTTCACAAATATTTTTATTCTTTGCATTTAGTTATTCTGTTTGTTTAATGTTTTTTCTTCTATTTTTATTCTTTAAAATTTTCATTGTTTTCACTTATTATTATTTATTTTTTTTCAAATCTTCTATTCAAAACAATTTTTATTATATTTTTATTATAATTTTTATTATTATATTTTTCCATATTTCTTTACAACTTAATTAAATATTTCACTAAAAATTACTAAAATAAAAATTAAATAGCTGTTGAAGTTTTTGAGAAAAATATTTGTTCTCTGCTATTTTTTTTTGATTTCCTAATATCTTATATGATTTTTATCATTTTGTTCTATACTGGTGTTTTATGTGGTTACAAACTATACTAAATGTTTTGTATAGTTTGTATAGCAGAGAAAAAGTTATTTTTCAAATTTTTCAAATATTTGTCAAAAATAAAATAAAAAAACCTCTGTTTTGGGATGGTTCACTAAAGGTTAAAGGTGTCTCAATAACTTTCTTGAGACAAAAAAAACTGCATAACTGACATAACTGCACACTACCACTGTTTTGAAACTTCTGTTGATTAAGACAGATTTATTTGAATTAACTTCTTTTGACAAATTTACTTGAATTAATTTCTTTTAAATCTTGTTTTGAGGAAATGAAATAAAATGAAATAAAATGAAAATAATATTAATTAAATGAATAATATAAAATTAAATGAATTAAATTAATAATAATTCTTTCTTTTAGTTTTTGAAAAATTAGTAACTTTTTTTTGTTGCAAAACGCCATATCCATTTTTTTTCTATTATCATAAAAATGAAAAACAGAACACACCAGACTCCAAACTCAATTTTTTTTTTTTTATTTAATTCATATGTGTTTCATCAATAAGACTCATCAGAAATGATTTCTGTTGATGAAATACAGTGTTAAATGAAAAATTTTTGATAAGTGATTTTTGACTAATTTATTAGTGCTCTATTCTTTTAAGAATATTGAGCACTCTATCTTGTAAAACACATTTTAAAATTTTTATATATGTTATGAATGTTAGACCTACCTTAGTTACCTTAGTTACCGCTGCTAAAATTTTTCCAAAAGTCTCTAGAGCT